CAGCCATGAAGGTTTTCAAAAGTAACTGCAGGCTAATTTGTTTATTTTTCTTCATATTTTGTATTTTCTTTATTATTGTGTATTGTATTACAGTACTGTAATCATTTTTATATGAATATTTTGGGGTTGTCGAACAAATCATCTGAGTTTCTGTTATTTCTTGTGGGGGAAATTCATGTTGATATACAAGTGCTTTGGATTACAAGCATGTTTCTGGAATGAATTATGCTTGCAAACCAAGGACTTACTGTATCATGAATGACTAAGTTGGTTTGGTTAAATGTGAATCTCTGGATATATCAGAAAAAATGAGAGGGGGTCGGTAAGACTTTTATGTTGCCTCAGGGGACAGAACTAGTAGGAGCTGATTTTATCTCCAAATAGTAAAAACTTTTTGAAATGAACAAAGCAGTGGCCTCCATGTGAATTCTTCCCTTCCCTGGAAATACAGAAACCAAGTAACTCCTTGTCAGATAGATGGCAAAAGGGATCCTTGCAAGGATGAATTCCTTAAATTATCCCACACTTGCAATTTAGGAAACCCTAAATTTCCTTAGAAATCCCACCTGCCCTGCCACTTGTCTTATTTTTTACTGCCTCTCATTAAGCACTGTTAAGTAATACTTCATTCAACTATCACAACATCTTCTGTGATAGATTATTATTACTCCCATTTTGTGATAAGGAATATAAGGCTTCCACATGTTAAATAACTTGCCAAGAATCATCCAACTAACAAGCAATAGAACTCAAATTTTAACCCAGATTCTTAACCATTATTCATTCAGCCACTTATAACTTTGCTATGTTACCTTACAACAGCAGCACTATAGCTTGTGAGAAATGCAGACTCTTAGGTCCTAACCCAGACCTACTGAATAAGAATCTGCATTTTAATAAGATCCCTGGTGATTTGTATGCACAAGAAAGTTTCAGAAACCTTAATTCATAAATATGTATTTTTTAATAATTCCAAAAGTACTTCTGATCATTAAACTTGCTCCATGGTTCATTCTATTCCTGGGCCTAGTCTAAATCATGGACAATATATTGATCTTCTTACTCTTAGTTGTATATTAGTCATGTTTTTTACTTTGTTAGCTTTGACATCTTGAGGTCTTACTGACACCAGAAGGGACTATCCCTCCTGCGTTTAGCTAATTCCTAGGATAGTAAACATGTACCCAACAGCATGCTCTTCAAAAGCAAAACAACCAATCCAGAGCTCCTACCCCCAACCACCACCTTTACTGGGATCTCAGGGGCTCTCACATCCCAAGCCACTATCCACTTCCCCTAATCACCCCAGTGTCAGGTACCAGACAAGTAGGAGACAGTACCAGACACCTCAGGGCCCACTGAAACTATTCAAACTAGCTAACTCCAAACCTTTCTCTGATTTATCTTTCCCATGGAAACCACCATGAAGGCTCTTGCCCACATTATCCCCCCACTTCCTCTGCCTCCTAACCAACCCTGTTGCTTTCTCTTGTTGTCCTGTGTGGCATGCCATGCCTCCTGCATCCAGGAATCCGTGCATATAAAAATTTTTTTCCTTTGGGGCACTTGGGTGGCTCAGTCGGTTAAATGTATGACTTCAGCTTAGGCCATGATCTCACTCTTCATGAGTTGGAGCCCACATTGGGCTCTCTGCTGTCAACGCAGAGCCTGCTTCAGATCCCCTGTTCCCCTCTCTCCCTGTCCCTCACCTGCACATGCTCTCTTACTCTCTCTCTCAAAAATAAACAAACATTAAAAAGAATTTTTTTCCTTTATGAAAATCTGTATGTCATGTCTGTATGTCTTACCATACCTGATTAAAACAAATCATGGGTACATTTTAAAACAGTTAATATAAACTTAGGTCACTTACGTCTCAAAAATGTCTCTGATCTGTATTTAAAATGTTTCTGCTAGTATAATAGCTGGATTGGTTTTCTGAGTCAACTTGGGTATGAGAGCTCATTCTTCCTTTGAAGAGGATCGTTGAGGATTCTTTAGAGAGACTCTTTGTAGTTGTGAGAAGTGGTGAGTAGTTTGACTAGCCAGTTAAGATTCCTTCTTCAACCCCTGGGTCTCCACGGTGCACCTCTGAACCTCTTTGTTGGGTTCCCATCACCCTACAGGACTGCCATAAATATACTACAAGATAGACTCAGGCAAAATGTGTTATTTTGACCCCAAGTCTATAGCAGGGCAGTTACTTAATAACACTCAGTCTTCTGCTCTGCCAGGTCATTCACCCAATCTCTCACTCTTAAGATGTCTCAGATGTGAGTCAAAAACCAATCCACAGCACCCCTCAAAATGCAGGAGTCACATATCAAGCTTTTCAAATTATTTGTTGAAGCTCCTCTTGGGTGGATGATATAGACACTCCTGCTCTATCTCAATAGAGAAGAGGATTCTGAACACAGTCAGAAGTTCTAAAGAAGTCTTCTTCTTAATGTCCAATTTTTTTGGCATTTTTAAATCTCTGAGATTAAAAATGGGGGGGGGGGGGGGCCCGGTGAGCAGCTGAAGTCACTTTTAAAAAAGGGACGGATCTAAGTGGCCCAGACCTCCGGCCTTGATCCCTGATCTCTCATCCCTAGTCGAGGGCCTGGGCTCCCTAAACTGAGGCAGGCAGCCTCCCAGCCAGGCCCTAGAAGTCAAACCCATGGGCTGGTCCCCTTTCGAGCCCGTGGCCAGGACTGTCTTGGCCCCTGGGCCTGCACTGCCTGCAGGGGCAGCCCCTTGGCCTGCACTGGGGGCTGAAATGTGGGAAGGGTGGTTTCTTTTTTTCTTTTTTCTCTTCTTTCTTTCTTTCTTTCTTTCTTTCTTTCTTTCTTTCTTTCTTTCTTTCTTTCTTTTTTCGTGCTTCAGAGACACCAGAATTAGTAATACTATTTTTGATTTTGAAAAAAAAAAAAAAAAAGGAATAACTTGGGGCGCCTGGATGGGTTAGTTGATTAAGCCTCCAATGCTTGATTTCAGCTCAGATCATGATTTCACAGTTCACAGGATTCAGTCCCATATCGGGCTCTGCACTAACAGCAGAGAGGATGCTTGGGATTCTCTCTCCTTCTCTCTCTGCCCCCCCGACTCACTTGCTCTCTCTAAAAATAAATAAACTTTTAAAAATATAAATAAAAAAGGAAAGTTTACTAAACTATAACTGGCATATAGTAAATTGCATGTAAAGTGTACAATTCGAAGTTTTGACATACACTCACACACCAATGAAGCCACACTACAGTCAACATAAGGAACATGTCCATCACAGCCAACAGTTGGTTCATCCCCCTTTGTAACCCTTCCCCCTCCTTGCTGGCCCCTCCAGAAACGACTGATCTTCTTTCTGTCACTATATATTAGCTGATTTTCTAGATTTGTATATAAATAGAATCACACAGTATTTGCTTTTTTTATTGCAAGATATACATGACATAAAATTTATTATTTCAACCCTTCTTGAGCATATATCTCATTAGTATTAAGTACATTCACATTGTTTACAAGTATGCACTCTTTTTTTGTATGACTTCTTTCATTCAGCATAGTATTTTGAGATTCATTCATTTCAGTGTTCAATAGTTCACTCTTTTTTATCACTGACCAGTATTGCATTGTATGGTTATACTATGATATGTTTATTTATTCACCTATTAATGGACATCTTGGTTGTTTCCAGCTTGAGGCTGTTGTAAATAAAGCTGCTACAAACATTTAAGTATAAGGCTTTGTAAAGATAATTTTTCATTTCTCCTATGCAAGTACCAAGCAGTGAGATGGCTGGGGCACATTTAACTTTATAAGATACTGCCTGTTTTTCAAATGGGCATAGCATGTTACATTCCCACCAGTGGTGTCTGAGAGTTCCAATTCCTACACATCCTCACCAATATTTGGTATGGTCAGATTTTTTTCCCTAGTTGCTCAATAGTTGTATAGTGACATCTTATTGTGGTTACATAACTTAGAAAAGGTGGAATCAGAGTAGTGGTCATTCTGGGGCTAATCATTCCTTAGTGCTGAACTGAACCCTTCTGAGTACTCTATACAGAGTCTTATACATCATGAGATTTTCCCTGGGGGGCCCAGTGGGAACAGGAACTATGCACCCCCTCCCAGGAAAGAAGGTAAAACTGACCCCTGTTATTCTATCTTGGCAGAAAGCTGAAGACTCCAATTGATTTTTGACCATCTTCTTTAGCAGTTCAGGCCAAGTAGATTCACATCTCACTTTGGAAGGTGAGAATAAGAGCCATCTCATTTCTTGGGTATTCAATCAAAACAGAAAAGAAAACCTCACTTAACATATTATTATATGTATAAACAATACATCCCCCCTATGTTTTGTTTGACTGAGTTTCCATAAATAATTTCATATGACTATAGCACAGGGTGATGGTTCTCTAGACAATGATGATGAGTCATGTACATCCAGTTTCTTCTGGCACACAACTTTCTAAGGTATGTTCTTTACACTCTTACATATACAGTGACTCCAATATATTTGGTAAATTTACAATTCAAACTTAGATAAAAGGAGTGTGATTATAAAGTAAATCTTGACTTGGGGTGAAGGGCATGTTTCTGGAGTCATTCAGGACTGCGTTTGAATCCTGGTTCTTCACTTACTGGTTGTGAAAAATTATGCAACTAACAACCTCCTTGAGCTGCCAGGAAACCAAGTTGCTTACAAACAAGAGAAACAGGTTCACAATTAGCTAGTTAAATATGATGACATAATGCAATGCATCGTTTTCCATATAATGCATATAATGCTTTTCCATATAATGCATGTAATGATGCAAGATAATATACAACTATAATAAATTTTATATACTTTGAGAATTATTATTATGCAGTAGAATTACTTCTTATCATAGAAACTAAGGCAATCCATAATCTGCAGAGACATGGACATTCTAGAACTTTGAATAGACACTTCTCTAAAGAAGACATCCAGGGAACTTTCCAGAACGCTCGCTGAAAAGCGGAGGAGCGGCGGCTGCCCAAGCTGCGTTCAGCAATGCACTCCTTCCCGCTCCCCCACACCGGCCTTGGCCCCCTCACCGGCTGTAGAAAATGGTGAAAGAAACTACTTACTATGATGTTTTGGGGGTCAAACCCAATGCCACCCAGGAAGAATTGAAAAAGGCTTACAGGAAATTGGCTTTGAAGTACCACCCTGACAAGAATCCAAATGAAGGAGAGAAGTTTAAACAGATCTGTCAAGCTTATGAAGTGCTCTCAGATGCGAAGAAAAGGGAATTATATGACAAAGGAGGAGAACAGGCAATTAAAGAAGGTGGAGCAGGTGGTGGTTTTGGCTCCCCCATGGACATCTTTGATATGTTTTTTGGAGGAGGAGGAAGGATGCAGAGAGAGAGGAGAGGTAAAAATGTTGTGCATCAGCTCTCTGTAACCTTAGAAGATTTATATAATGGTGCAACAAGAAAACTAGCTCTGCAAAAGAATGTGATTTGCGACAAATGTGAAGGCCGAGGTGGTAAGAAAGGAGAGGTAGAATGTTGTCCCTATTGCCGAGGTACTGGAATGAAAATAAGAATTCATCAGATAGGACCTGGAATGGTTCAGCAAATTCAATCTGTGTGCATGGAGTGCCAGGGCCATGGGGAACGGATCAGTCCTAAAGACAGATGTAAAAGCTGCAATGGAAGGAAGATAGCTCGAGAAAAGAAGATTCTAGAAGTTCATATTGACAAAGGCATGAAAGATGGCCAGAAGATAACATTCCATGGTGAAGGAGACCAAGAACCTGGACTGGAACCAGGAGATATCATCATTGTTTTAGATCAGAAGGACCATGCTGTTTTTACTAGGCGAGGAGAGGATCTTTTCATGTGTATGGACATACAGCTGGTTGAAGCACTGTGCGGCTTTCAAAAGCAAATAATCTACTCTAGACAACAGAACCATTGTCATTACCTCTCATCCAGGTCAGATTGTCAAGCATGGAGATATCAAGTGTGTGCTGAATGAAGGCATGCCAATTTATCGTAGATCATATGAAAAGGGTCGCCTAATCATCGAATTTAAGGTAAACTTCCTTGAGAATGGCTTTCTCTCTCCTGATAAACTGTCTTTGCTAGAAAAGCTCCTACCTGAGAGGAAGGAAGTAGAAGAGACTGATGAAATGGACCAGGTAGAACTGGTGGACTTTGATCCAAATCAGGAAAGAAGGCGCCATTACAATGGAGAAGCTATGAGGATGATGAACATCACCCTAGGGGAGGTGTTCAGTGTCAGACCTCTTAATGGGGCCAGTGAAGAACACTGCTGGCATTTTATATGCAGTAATGAACGAATGAAGGACTATAATCATAGCTCACTACTTGCTATTATTGTTTTTGTTTTAATATTCAACTATAGTAGTGTTTTAAAAGTTAAATGAAGAATAAAAAATATAAAAGCTCTGACTTTGCCCTGTATGTATGATGACTTCAGTGTGCAAGATAAGTTTAATACTTGTAAAAACTACTTTTAAAAAATCTCCCCTAGCATTTGTTAGAGGCCCGACCTTGTAATTGATCTCAGCTCTATGTACATTAACTAGTTTAGACTGAAAATGCTAGGTAAATGTATTGACTTCAGTGTATGACCCTTAATTGTTAAGCTATGAAGTTAAAACTTGTGTTTAATTGGCAATCAGAAAAAGAATTTGTAAAGAAGTGTTGGTCTGTAGTTCTATTAAGTGGGATTCATTGTGATGCTTCTGCATTTATTCTGTTGCCTCAACTGTTACTTAAAGATGGCATGCTGTGTAATTTGGCCTGTGGTATCAGTGGTGGAAAGGATACCTTTCTAAAGAAGGGGTTTATCATAATCTGCTGTTTGAGGGCTTGCACTTGTAGAACTGCATTCCCTTCTGCTGTGCCATCTTTTTTTTAAATATATATATATATATATTTAATATATATATAGAGACACACACCAGTCCTGGTTACATTTTTTTCCCTTCTCTTTGGACCATGATAAGCTTCAGAGTAGTGACTACGGGAGCAGGGTAACTTAGAGTGAAGAGATATTTACACAGAAAAGTAAATTTGCATGTATGAGCTAGGAAGGTGTTTTTTAGGTATGTTACAGGCTTACTTTAAACAATTTAACTTACGTTCCGAAGTAACTGTAATTTAATGTTGGTAGTATAGCAAATTATGATGAATAGCTTTAATTGTATGTTTAAAAGTCATGTTCACAAGCTTAAATCTGGGTATCAGAATTAAGCAATTCTTGAAATGTATGAATGTCTCCTTAATATACTGATTACAAAGCATTAAAAAAAAAAAAAAACAAAAAAAGACATCCAGATGGCCAACAGGCACATGAAAAGATGTTCAACGTCACTCCTCATCAGGGAAATACAAATCAAAACCACCCTGAGATACCACCTCATGACAGTCAGAGTGGCTAAAATGAACAAATCAGGAGACTATAGATGATGGCGAGGATGTGGAGAAACGGGAACGCTCTTGCACTGTTGGTGGAAATGCAAACTGGTGCAGCCACTCTGGAAAACAGTGTGGAGGTTCCTCAAAAAATTAAAAATACACCTATCCTATGACCCAGCAATAGCACTGCTAGGAATTTACCCAAGGGATACAGGAGTGCTGATGCAGAGGGGCACTTGTGTCACAATGTTTATAGCAGCACTCTCAACAGTAGCCAAATTATGGAAAGAGCCTAAATGTCCATCAACTGATGAATGGATAAAGAAATTGTGATTTATATACACAATGGAATACTACGTGGCAATGAGAAAGAATGAAATAAGGCCTTTTGTAGCAACGTGGATGGAACTGGAGAGTGTTATGCTAAGTGAAATAAGTCATACAGAGAAAGACAGATACCATATGTTTTCACTCTTATGTGGATCCTGAGAAACTTAACAGAAGACCATGGGGGAGGGGAGGGAAAAAAAAAAAATAAGAGGTTAGAGAGGGAGGGAGCCAAAACATAAGAGACTCTTAAAAACTGAGAACAAACTGAGGGTTGATGGGGAGTGGGAGGGAGGAGTGGGTGGGTGATGGGTATTGAGGAGGGCACCTGTTGGGATAAGCACTGGGTGTTGTATGGAAACCAATTTGACAATAAATTTCATATTAAAAATAAATAAAGATAAAAAAAGAAATTCTGCAGTAAACCTGTATCAGAAACACTTACTTGGCACTAATGTTTGTAGGTTCAAACATAGGGGTGATCCAAAGATACTCCAGCAATTTCAACTCTTCTCTTTCTTAATGATGAACAAATGAAAGATATTAGATTTAAAAAAATGTATTATATAAGATTAAATGATTTGTCATTACTACTAAACTCTTTGTACTTGAGTATTTGGAGAATACAATCCTTCAAGCCATTTTGGCTCTTAACTTGATTATTAGGTTTCCTTTGCTGACTTTCTTTCTCATCTGCAGAATGGGGACAATAGTGGTGCCATGTGCCACTGTTGTGGAAATTCAACAAGATAATTCTTGTAAAGCACTTAGCATAGTAATAGTACTCAAGGCTATAGGCTGTAGGCTATAATTACTTTATATACACACCAAGACACTCAAACCAGAGCGCTTTGGATCAAGGCAAGTTGAAAGCTTAACAGTTCTCAGTGAGACCATCATAAGTTATAAACCAATTCAATTGCTTCAAATAAAATAACCACAAATTAAACACGTTACCTTCAAAGGTTCTATACCATATTCTCAGCCTCTTAATTAAAATTGTGGAGTGATATTTATCTGTTTCAAGTGAAAATGTTATTTGGGAGCCATTGCAAACAATAGTATAGTTTTATTTTACATACTAACTGAAGTCCATAAAAAACAATGAGAAGAACCGAAATTATCAAGAAATTTTATATTTTTACATTCTAGATTCTTCAGATATGGTTGATGTCATAATTCCCCAATCAGAATTTAAGTTTCTTGAGACTAAGGACTGTTTATTACTCATTACTGTCTATCACTTCTAGGTAACGCATAAATAAATGTGTGCTGAAGTAACCATATCCCAAACACCTTCTTCTTTACTCCATCTTAAAATGTAAGGTATAAGTAAAACAAAACAAAACAAAACAAAAACACTGATTACCTAAATAAAGATATCTATATTTAAAAGTAGATCTTAAGCAATAGGAATTACTATACCAGTAATTTGCTTTTTGGCACCTCAAACTAATTTCCATCCTTCTAGAAACATCTGGGTAGAATCAAAATTAACCATTTTGATCCTACTTCACTTATCCCTATCTTACCTCATCTTCTGATGGATTGTCTGTATGAGAAGTTTTCCCTTTCCCAATGTACTCCAGCCCTTACTGATCTCCCGCACTTTCAGATTCCTAAAACACTAGCGATCTGTTACATAGTGAAAAAGTATCTCCAATTTAATAGGTATTTCTGACACTTCAAGGTAGCTGCTCTGAGAGAGAAAAACCCTAGAATTAGAGTCTGAAGCCTGGGTTCAAACGCTGGTATCACTATTTACAGGCTGAAGGGACTGATGCTTGACATCTATCTCAATTTCCTTAGGGTAAAACAGGCATTGTATTTTAAAGTTGTTATCTTACCCTGAAAAATGGCATGTCAATTGACTGATTCACTGAGTGATTGACAAAATTCTCACCAATAGTAAAAATACTGCAGACCCCACAAAATTCCACAAAACAAAGTGAATAGCTTATGAAGTTTTCTTTATGTGGCACATATTCTTGTACTGACACCCATGGACTTCAAGAGAGCTGTGCATGCCCTGAGATGGTATGAAAAATTACATGTGTGTATTCACATGTGTGTATTTGAGGGAGAGATGAAACCAGCAGTGTTGAGAACCACTGTTCTCAGATGATATAAAGCCAGAAGTGAGAGGGTGGAAGAGGGAAGGGGAGCATATAATTCAAGGTGCCGAAGGAGCTGGTGAGGGTGAAACAGGACTGCTGGTCAAAGCAACAGTAGGTTGGGTACTAATCTAACTCTGGTCTAGTCTAGACCTACTTAGTCTCCTAATCCATGATCTCTCTCTCTAATTAGTCTAACCAGTCAACCTTGACTGGCCCACAATACCCCTAGTTCCCACCACAATTCCCACCACAGTGCCTAGAAAATAACAGGCATGCACCAATTATCTGCTAAGAATTTCTTCCAATTTTCTTACCTGTAAAAGGAAGGAGATTGAGTAAAAACTATCTTGAAGGTTCCTGCCAAGAAAAACCTCTATTACATTCGAAGCTAATTATTTTATAGAAAAACAAAACAAAACAAAACAAAAATATGGGAACTGCCTTTCCCCATCTAGAGAAGGTCAGAATTCAGCATCCTACTCCAACCTCACACTTAACAAACTTGTTTCTAGATGAACCTCACCTCCAACAACTCATTCCTCAGAAAGATGACTTCTAGAGACACCTGGGTGGCTCGGTTGGTTAAGTGTCCAATTTCGGCTCAGGTCATGATCTCATGGTTTGTGAATTTGAGCCCCACTTTGGGCTCTGCACTAGTGCAGAGCCCGCCTGGGATTCTCTCTCTCTCCTGCTCTCTGCCCCGCCCCCCCGCCCCCCCCCGATCCCCCCCCCCCCTCCCCCTCTCAAAATAAAAAAAATAAAAAAAAAAGAAAGATGACTTTTATTATTTTGGTTGTTATTCTCTTAAGTAAGCTACTGACAACTCCTTAAGATCCCTGCTTTCTTTGGGGCTCTGACAAGGGGCAGGTAACGGATACAGTGCATTAACAAATCAGTAATATTTGAAGAGTTACTCCTCTCACAGCCAGGCTTTTAACAGGCCTGGATTTAAATGGCATCTCTTTCAAGCACATTTCCTTTATCAGTATTTGAAGTTTCAAAGAGCAATCAATGTCAAGGATCTGAATGTTAAAATACAGCAGACCTTTGGAAATGCAATTATCATTTTCTCCTATAGATAATTAACAACTGAAAAAAAATTTACTTCTACTGAGGGCTTCTGGGAAAATATCACTGAACCCTACCTACATGCTTTGAAAGAATCAGGTGTTCAAACTACCAACAGGGCAGCCTGGGCTTTGTGGTGCTGTTCTAGCAGTGGTGATGGCTTCGAACTAGATAAGCTTCCCAGTGCTACCCCTTCCATCCCCTTCCCATCCACATACCCACATGAACTGCAAAACACTGTACAACCTGCAGCTCAGGGCTACAGCCAATTGTGATGAAATAGTTCTTTCTGTTACACACAAAGGAGCATTAGAAGAATCAAACCTACAAGTTTCACTTCAGTACTCCTCTGAAAAAATACAAGATGGTTGAAATTGACTTCAACTAGTACTGAAATGATAAACATCGCAGCATAAGATGTTGGTTGGACTTAAACATAAAGGAATTTCTAACAGATTCAGCTGCTTAAAAACGAAATAGGATGTCTTCAGGGTTCAAGCAAAGCTATTTAATCTACTATCAATGTGATTCCCACAGAAAGTGGGGGCTCATTTTTCAGGTCTTCCAGAGCTTTAGGGTTCTATCTTTCTCTAAAGCAGACCTTTCTTTAATTTGTTTCATTGCAGTGACATGGAAATTTTCAGACACAAAGAGACAGAGAATCTCACATAGTATTTATCCTCTAAAATTCAATACCAAATATTTTCACAGTAAGCCCATCATACTTTAGTCCTCTTCCAGACTCTTCCATAGTCTGAGTATCACTGGGCCCCCTGGCATGTGTTAATATCTCCATGATTGGGCAGAAGGAAGAGGCATCATAACTTTTTTGTCCCGTCATTTCCCCCCGAAAGAAAAGAAAGTGCTACAAAATTCTGCCAGTGCACAACATGCCTCATTTGGGAATTTTCCTAAATTCCCCCATAACCGTTTGTTTCCCTCTTAAGGAAGAAGGAAAATGAGTAATTTTTGTTGAGTACTAGGAAATATGCTAATAGCTTCAGATACCTTCATTTCATTCATTTCAGTCATTAGAATCACACTTTGAGGTAGTTTCAGTATGTCCACTTAATAAATGAAAAGTCTGGGGCGCCTGGGTGGCGCAGTCGGTTAAGCGTCCGACTTCAGCCAGGTCACGATCTCGCGGTCCGGGAGTTCGAGCCCCGCGTCAGGCTCTGGGCTGATGGCTCAGAGCCTGGAGCCTGTTTCCGATTCTGTGTCTCCCTCTCTCTCTGCCCCTCCCCCATTCATGCTCTGTCTCTCTCTGTCCCAAAAATAAATAAAAAAGTTGAAAAAAAAAATTAAAAAAAAAAAAAATGAAAAGTCTGAGACCTAGACAGTTTAAGTCAAATGTACATGGTCACACCACAAGTAACACAAAAGCCAGAATTCGAGACCTTGTGTGTTCAAAATACCCCTGCCCCAACCTATCTAGAACTCTAGCATATAAAGGTGTGGTCATAAACCAGGAAACAGAGACCTGCGCATCTTTATTCTAACCGTGAACTGATCCTTTCAGTAGGCTTTGCAAGAGAGGAATCATTAGAGTACAAATAACCTAAAGGAAAAAAAATGTTTTCCCTGAAAACTGAGGTGAAAAGAATGTGGGAGAGCGGGGCAGTGAATTGTCAGGGAATAGCTCGGCTAAGGAAAGCTCATCCACATCAATCAGCTCTTGGAGTCGGTGCCCTAAGAGAGAACTGACATGAAATTACACAAAAAGTTATGAGGCTCAAGACACTGAAGCTCTTCTTGGGAAGAAAATCATCTTTCATCCTCAGCTGACCCCAGGAAGAAAGGGGGCAGAATAAAACCTGAGAGATGACAATCTGAGGAACTAGGGTGGGGTTTTGGTGCAGCTGGAGCGAGATCAAGATGAATTAAAAAACAGATTATCTGCATAGATTCAGCTGAAGTTGAAATGAATGCCTCTTGTTCAGCTAGTATTTCAGGGGCTCCTGTGTGCTCCTCGTGGGGGAAACGGTACCCAGATCAATGATCTAGCATCAGAGCAGCTAGTGGAGAACAGACTACAGAGCAAGACACCCCATCACACCAGACTCACAGGTAGTTTTGAACAGAAGACCTCTGTTTCTGTGCTGGCTGAAGACTCATGAATTTCACAGAACTACTGCTGGGAATTGAGACCCAGAGAAAAAAGGAATGGGGAATATGCAGCATTCAATGATAATGTCTTGATGGTATTCAGAGGAGAGTTTTTGATATTTTCAACTAAAGCATTAGGAAAAAAAAATGAAATTTGGCCTCTATCTCACATCACACACAAAAGTTAATTTAAGCAACGATGATGTTTTTAGAGGAAAACATAGAATATTTTGTGAAATATGAAAATTTTTCTTGGATAGGACACCAAAAGTACTAACCATAAAAGCACAAGCCAGACTCAAAATGATATATATTCTCTCCGACACAATGTCCAATTCAAGCTCTCCTCTCCTCATGAATTTTATTTTGGCGGGGGGAGGTGGAGACACACACACAGTGTATCTTCTTTCTCTCAACTCCTGTTGTAATTATGTCAGAATTATTTAAAAATTATCACACAGTGCTATCATATTTATTGTGAACAGTTCTTTACTGCCAGCCATGGTACAGTGGAAAATGTTTAGTAACAGGCTCTCTAGGGTAAAAAGCCCTTATATGTAACATTTGCCAATTTCTGTGGTGCAAATACTCCACCATGGCCTATTTCAAGCCATCAACATGACGTTACTAGATGTAGAGTTGGAAAGAAATCCACACAACTGCATGTGAGCCAGCACAGCCGGCTGCAGCACATCCCTGGTTGCCTGTCTCCCCAGTGAGTCTGTAAGCAATCCCTGGTGGTCTAATTGAATTTAACATGGTTCCTCAGTTTCCTCATTTGGTGAAAGTGGATAAACATACTCAGAGAGAGTAACTTCCTCAGAGGATAACTAATTCTAAAACTCTATTGAAAGTTTAAGAAATTTGGGGCGCCTGGGTGGCGCAGTCGGTTGAGCGTCCGACTTCAGCCAGGTCACGATCCCGCGGTCCGTGAGTTCGAGCCCCGCGTCAGGCTCTGGGCTGATGGCTCAGAGCCTGGAGCCTGTTTCCGATTCTGTGTCTCCCTCTCTCTGCCCCTCCCCCGTTCATGCTTTGTCTCTCTCTGTCCCAAAAATAAATGTTGAAAAAAAAAATTTTTTTTTAAAAAAAGAAAGTTTAAGAAATTAGAGTGGACATAGAGTGTATCTTCAACAGCCATATCCTCTTCTAAAAGAAGTCTCTGTTTCCCATTTCAGATCCCTCCCTCCCTCATTTTCAGTCCACAGTCCTCAGATTAAGCTCCCAGCCCAGCTCTGGAGTGGATCATGACCAAGACCAATTTGCACATGACATTCTCTAGCCCCAGGGATTGGTTCATGGGATTATCATGTGATCCAATGACAAAAATAAGAAGCAGTGAGACCTTTGCTGAAAATCCTGTCAAGTAACTGGACATTTGTTATAAGGGACTTGAATCAAAAAGAAGCTGCTTGCATCTCCATCTTGGCTCCACATGGAGCCTGTGAACGATGTAAATCCAACAGAAAGAGAAAAATTAAATTGTGAAAATGTTTGAGCTTTGAAGTAAAAAATAAAAAGCCAAAATTTGCAAAGCCTCAGCCTTAGACATTCTATTTAAGTAAGCCAATAATTTCCTTTTTCCTTAAACCAATCTGTGTTGGGTTTTCTCTCACATAGAGCAAAAATTTCCAAACTGATACAGAAATACACCCTGATTAATAAGCTGTCTATATTATTAACATATTGGGAAACAGTAGCAAAATATCATAGCATGATAATACTTTTTATAAAGCATCATTTTATCAGCTTCTTACACAGTTAAATGTACACTTGTTATATGTTCCAGTTGTGACAGGCAGAATAATGTCCAAATTCTCAGAACCTAAAAGTATATTACCTTTTCTAGCCAAATGGGCTTTGAAGAGAACTTAAAGGTGTGATTAAGCTAAAGATCCTGAGTTATCCAGGTGGGCCCAATATATTTATAAGGGTCATTAAGAGGGAGGCAACAACAGAATCACAGAAGGAGATGTGACCACAGAAAGAGAGGTCGGAATGATGCAGGGCCACTAGCTTCTGGGTTGCTTCCAGAAGCTGGAACAGGTAAGGAAGTGAATTCTTCCCTAGAGTCTCCAGAAGCAACACAACCCTGCCAACATAGTTTAGACTTCTGAGCTCCCCAACTGTAAGAGAATAAGTTTATGTTATGTTTTTTTAAGGGATTAAATTTGTAGCAATGAGTTACATCAAAATAGAAATCTAATAGCATAGCAATCCCACTTCCAGCTGTTTTACCCAAGAGAAATGAAACCTGATACTCCCCCCCAAAAAAACCATATGCAAATGTTTATGGCAGGTTTATCAGAATTGCAAACACTGAAAACAACCTAAATGTTCTTCAACTGATGAATAAACTGGGTAGCATTCAACTCAATGGAATACTACTCAACAAGAAAATAAGAATGAACTACTGATGTGTATAATGAATGGGTGAAACACAGATGTACTGTGTCAAGTGAAAGAAGCAAGACTCCAAATGGTACATACTTTACAACTACATTTATACGGCATTGCAAAACTATAGTGACAGAGAACAAATCAATGACTGCCAATGGTAGGAAGTGGAGAAATGGTTGATAACCAAGGGACAGCACTCGGGAATTTTAGGGGTGAAGAAACAGTTCTGTATCTACAGCATGGTAGTACTTTCACAACTATATGCCTACATCAAAGCTCATAGGTCTGTATACCAAAAAACAAAACAAAACAAAAAGTGAACTTTCCTGAATATGTTAAAAAAATAAAATTGAATGGAAGTTAAAAAAAAAAAAAAAAGAAGGATCTATATATTTGAGAACAAGTTTGAGATGCTGGCATGAAATTGTCTGTAGGAGTTGTCTTCCTATGCTCATCTCACTCACATTGTCAAGCTTTCACAGGCATGCCCTTCAACCACCATCTCTCAAATAACTAAACAATGGTATAAAAACTATACTAAACTAAAGAGGCAAGTCCCTGAAGGACCTACCATCTCTAGAAGCTCAGCCAGCAGCTCACTAATCCTTTAAAAATACAGTTCTTAACCAAACTCTGACCCTAAGATGTTGCTTGGGTCTTCATCCCTATTATTGCCTTATTAATTTTT